CTGAGCAATGCTGTATTTTGTCCCTCCAATAGGAACCTGAGATGCTGACTATAAGGTGAAAGACGGCACCTGGGGTGTGGAATTGGGGGACTCAAAGGCGCTCCTGTGGCGGGGCTTACGGGAAGTGCCCGGGGACTGGGAGCCAACCACACTGTGCCAACCCCCTGCCTGCAGCGAGTACCACGAGCGCGTGCGTGCCCAGGGGCAGCAGCTGCAGCATCTCCAGGCCGAGCTGGACAAACTTCACAAGGAGGTGTCTAGGGTGCGCGCCGCCAACAGCGAGGTGAGCCCTGTGCACCCTGCGCTCAGGAACCCTGCGCTCACAGCCGGTGCCCAGGGATGTCTAGGAGCTCCGCCTGCTGCACGGTCCCTGCCCCTGGAAACCCCTTTCTAAGCCCCACTCCCTGGGTCCTGAACCTTAAAGCCCTGTCCCAGAGCCCCAACTTGGTGATTTCTTTCCGGGCCACAAAGTCCATACCAGACAAGTATGCTGCCCTTTAAAACCAGCCCGCAAGCCCCGTCCTCCCTCTTTTCAGAGAGTGGCCAAACTCGTATTCCAGAGGCTGAATGAGGACTTTGTGCGGAAACCCGACTATGCGCTGAGCTCTGTGGGTAAGGCCCAGAGACCCAGAGAGACTGAGACACAGACACAGAAAGAGCCGCAGACGCTGACGCAGGCAGACCCGTACCCATGACCGACCCCAGGAGCCCAACCTCAGACCGACCGGCCCAGCGGCCCATCAGGCCTGGGGGTCTCTGAATGGTTGCTTCTCCCCTGCTCAGGAGCCTCCATCGACCTAGAGAAGACATCCCGGGACTACGAGGACGCAAACAGCGCCTACTTCTGGAATCGATTCAGCTTCTGGAACTACGCGCGGCCACCCACGGTTATCCTAGAGGTGAGCCTGGAACCTGGAGCCGGGAGCGGACCCGGGCGGCGCTGGGGAAAGAACCCGACCGCTCTCTGGAGGTGGAGCCGAGCTGCGGGAGCTGCGGGCGGGGCCTAAGCGGGGAGATCCGGGCCGAGGAGGGGCCGGCTGGGCCGCACCTCCTTTTGCTGGAGAAACCTGGCAAGAGCTAGCCAGGGAAACGGGCCTCGGGAGGGATCTGGCTAAGCGGCCCGTGCTGGAGGTGGAGGACTGAGGGCGCTGCCAAAGTGAACCCATGCTCAGGCTGGACAAGGGCAAAGTCGCCTGTTCCGCGGGTTCTGATCGACTGTCCGCTTGCAGCCAGATGTGTTCCCTGGGAATTGCTGGGCTTTTGAGGGCGACCAGGGCCAGGTGGTGATCCGGCTGCCGGGTAGCGTGCAGCTGAGCGACATCACCCTGCAGCATCCACCTCCCAGTGTGGCGCACACCGGCGGAGCCAGCAGCGCCCCCCGCGATTTCGCGGTCTATGTGAGTGGGACTGATGCCAAGGAGGTGGGGGATTTTGCTTAGAAATCACCAGCCACTCATGAAAACTGGTGCCGCTGAGTCTTCGCTTGCGCATCTATAAAATGGAGATACCACCATTTGCCTGTCAGGGCTGCCATAGGTTATAAATAATTATAACCATATCCAGATACTAGTTATGGTTTATTCAGCACTAACTCTGTGCTGAGTACTTTCCATGGATTATCTCCTTGCATTCACACAACCCATTAAGTCCCCTACAGAGAAGAGGAAAGTAATGCTCAGAAAGGGGACCTTAATTGCCCAAGGTCACACAGCTAACAATGCGCCAGACTAAAATTTGCAGCCTGGTTTCTGTGAGCCCATATTCCCTACTATGCTCTCCTAACACCACAACATAAATGAGAGCATGCACACAACTACTGAACACATACATAGTAGGTCCTCAACTGTTGCTTCCTTTCCCCTCCACCTGTGCCTCACTGTTCCTTCATTCACTCTTCACCTACCAGGGCCTCCAGGTTGATGATGAGACGGAAGTTTTCTTGGGGAAATTCACGTTCAACGTGGAGAAATCTGAGATTCAGACTTTCCACCTACAGGTGTGTTTTTCTCTGGGGATGATGGTGCTAAGGGAGTGGGATAGGGAGGGAAGATTGGGGAGGAAGACAGCCCTTGGCATGATACATTTGTCTCCCCAGAATGACCCCCCAACTGCCTTTCCTAAGGTGAAGATACAGATTCTAAGCAACTGGGGCCACCCCCATTACACATGCTTGTATCGAGTTCGAGCCCATGGCATGAGAACCTTGGAGGCAGCAGGGGACAGTGCCACAGGAGGGCCCAATTAAACATGCCGATTGTTAAAATAGAGTGGAGGTCTGTGCTGAAAGAAGCTGGATCAGTGCTGGAGGGTCTGTTGGGGGCTCTGGTTGCCTTTGGTATATAAATATGGTAGGGGGTCTATCTCCCAATGCATCCTCTCTTTTCTTGGAGAAGTCCAGATCAATATAGTAGTAGCAGCTCATGTTTATGGAGTGTTTCCATGTAAAAGAGATGGTACTGTGGACTTTATACACATTACCTAACTAATCTTCACAACCACAGGGGGAAACCACTCAGGTCAGGAAACTTGCTCAAGGTCACATAGCTAGTGAAGAACAGCATCACGGCGGGACCCAAGCCCATCTTCCTCCAGAGGCCACCCTTTTAACTGCCAGTCAGCCTGAAGCCATGCATATGAACCTCAATTACCTCTCCCAGCCTCTGGGAAAGCCTCTTTCCTCAGGTAAACACTCAAAAACTGAGACTTGAGAACCTCTAGGAAGCATCTGAGAGTTTATGCAGGCCTGGTAGCCCCTATTCAGGTTGGCTTCACTGAGACCTCAGTGCCCAACTCTGTGCTAGGCACAGTACAGATGGTCACGTGTTCACCAGTCTCTGCCCTCAAGGGCCTGATAGGAAAGAGAGGATGCTCCAGAAAACAGGGCAATTCATTTACTGATCCAGGCATTCTTCACCAAAAAAACTAGAGGAATAAAAGATGGAGGAGACAATCATCAAAGGATTAATGAGTTCTACCTGGGCAGAGGAGAAAAGGGTGACCAGTATGAGCAAAGACACAGGCAACATTTTGGCTGATAAGATCCTTCCCAGTGTGTTCATGTTTTGGAAGAATATACACACTATTACCAGTGGTAACCCTCTAGGAAGTGGAATGCTGAGTATGTGTGGGAATGGAGCACGTATCCACCTGTGAAATTTGGGGGCTATTTTGTAATCTGAAGACAAAGGAGAAGGATTTTCTCAAGTGGTCTCAAAGCCTAAGGTTAGAAATATGAAATCTAACACAGCTTTTTTTCAGGGCAGTTTTACAACAGGAACCAAAAGCCTTAAAAAACTTGTATACTCTTGCCCAGCCGGGTGTGGCTCAGTAGTTGGGCATTGACTTAGGATCCAGGAGATCGATGTTTGATTTCCGGTCAGTGCACATGCCCCGGTTGTGGGCTCGATCCCCAGCAGGGGATGTGCAGGACGCAGCCGATCAATGACTCTCTCATCATTGATGTTTCAACTTTCTCTCTCCCTCTCCCTTCTCTCTGAAATCAATAAAGATACATTAAAAAAAAACACACACTTGTATACTCTTTACTGCAATTCCATCTTTATGGATCCAAAGGATACCTAGATGTAATCAAGGAAAATACTTTTAAAATTTTTTTGCTGTTTTTTAGAGAGGAAGGGAGAGGAAGAAAAACATTAATATGAGAGGGAAACATTGATCAGTTGCCTCCCATACACACCATAATCAGGAACCAAACCAGCAACCTGAGCATGTGCCCTGACCAGGGCTAGAACCGGCAATCTCTTGGTGCACAGGACGATGCTCAACCAATTAAACCACACCAGCCAGGGTCATGAAAATACTTTTAAGAATATTCATCATGTTCACCCGGGTGTGGCTCAGTGGCTGAGCATCGACCTAGGATCCAGGAGATCGCGGTTCGATTCCTGGTCAGGGCACATTCCTGGGTTGCGGACTTGAGCCCCAGTTAGGGTGTGTGCAGGAGGCAGCTGATCAATGACTCTCTCTCATTGATGTTTCTCTCTCTCTCTCTCCCTCCTCTTTGAAATCAATAAAGATATATTTTAAAAAAAAATCAGGCTTGCCCCAGCTGGTTTTGCTCAGTGGTTAGAGCATAGGCCTCAGACTGAAGGCTCTTGGGTTCGATTCTAGTCAAGGGCACATACCTAGGTTGCGGGCTTGATCCCCAGCCCCCGTTGGGGCTGGTGTGGGAGGCAACCAATTGATTCTCACATCAATGTTTCTCTCTCTCACTTCCATTCTCTCAGAAAAGCAATGGAAAAAATTCCTTGGGTAAGGATTAAAAAATAAATTCAGCCTTGTAGCCTGTTTTTAGACTAGAACCACCACTGCTCCCTCCCCACTACATCTAGCATAGCCTTTTCTCCATCTTAAAGCTCATCCCTCCCCTAACATTCTCCACCTTGTCTTGCATTCTCAGCTCAGTTCTGCTTTGAAGCAGGGCAGGCTGGGTGTTTAGTTTACATTCAATCTTTGTGTTTTCAAAAATAGAGTCAGTGTGTCTAGATATCTAGCCAGGAATACCTAATTTCTTTGAGTGGGGCTATTATGTCAGAGGCATTCTTCACTCAACAACCTCTAAGGTCAACAAATAGGCTCAGAGAGAAGTAAACATGGCTAACAGCAGATTCCCACCCAAAAACACACCAAGTGGTGACAAAACAGTGGTCATCACTGATCTTTATTGAATGAGGGGCTCCAGGGGCAAGAAGGTGGGATCAAGAGCAGCAATAGCAGGAGCAAGTATAAAAGTATAAAATATAAAGTGCTAGCCCTGGGAAGCGTGTGCAGGGGTGGGTGCTGGTCCATATGGACCTTGGGCTGAGGACCAGCCACAACCTATCCGAGACAATTTAGGCCTGAGGGGCCTGTGCAGGGCCCTTGGGTGGGAGTGAAAGTGGCTTGCATGGGGCCCAACCTTGGGTCTTGAAGTAGGAGACCAGTTGCACAGGTACTTCTGCAAGCACAGTCTGCGCCAATGCTTCCCGAGGGGCCTGCCCAGAGAAGAGAGGCAAGGTCAGTGAGAGCCTATAACAGCTTCCAAGCCCTACATATTATACCCAAGAAAGGATATAAAACCGAAAACCCAACGCTGCCCCAGACTTAGATGAAAGGGTGAGTATCTCCACTCACATCAGGGAAAGGTAGAAGGGTAAACTCTCAGATCTGGTTTGGCCCCAACCTTGCCCCCACTCACATTCTGAAAGCGGCGGTAGGGCACAAACTGCACTATGTCACGGGCAGCTCCCTCCCCAGAACGTGTGCGCAGGGGTCCACCATCAGCATCCAGCTGCTCCATGGCCTCAAAGTCAGCACCACCCACTCCGACAATGATCACTGACATGGGCAGGTGAGAGGCACGAACTACAGCCTCACGTGTGGCCTCCACATCAGTCACAGCACCATCAGTCAGCAGCAACAGCACAAAGTATTGCTGGGGACAAGTCAATTCATATACTGAGTCAGATTTTTTAAACATCCCAGCCACATATTCCCACACTAACATGAAGTCCCTTGTTACATAGCCCTCAAGGGAGCCATTGACTGAGACCATCCCACTACCACCACTACCTCCCACAACCCTCACCGAAGCAGTCCTTTGATGTGCAGCCTGGGCTGCAAACCTGGCCACATGGTTGATGATGGGAGCAAAATTGGTGGGGCCATAGAGGCGAACTTGGGGCAGGGCCTGACGGTAGGCATCCACAATACCCTGGATACCTAGAGAAGGGCAGAAAACATTATAAAATACTGAGCCACTCAGCTGAGCTGGTCCTGACATCTCCCCATCCTGGGTGAGATTTGGGAACCTGGGTGCACTTCATTCAATCACCCCAGTAACCCAGGGTACTTAACTTTATCCTACAGATGAGGAAATTAAGGTCAAAGACAGGAGGGACACTTGCCCTAAATCACAGTTTGAATTAAAACCCAAATTAGGGGAATACCCTGAAAAATCCAAAGCAGTTGAGCATCAGACTATAACTCACTTCATAAGATAATGAATTACAATCTATTTAATAAAATAAGAACCCATAGAGATATTAAAGAAAGGGCAAGCTCTTCCTTAATAAATGTAGAAGGAAGAATTACAAAATCATTTGATAATCAGAGAGAATTGATTCAGGCAAGGATCATCAATGAATGCTAAAACTCGAGGGGGTAAAAGATGAGTAATTAGATATTTGTATAAAAAGTTATTCACTACAAGGAGAAAAACAGTACTTGCATAGAGGAGAAACCTGGTAGACTCTACCTTAACCGAGTGATCAAAGTTAACCTGACTGGTAATAGGATAAATCGACACCATATGCCCCCTGCTGTGGTGCACCGAGAAACAAGTGGTATTCCCACCAAAAATGTATAATCTGAATCTAATCATGGGGTAAACCCAAACTGAGGGGCATTCCACAATTTATCTGGCCTGTAATCTTAAACAATGTCAGTATCATTAAAGACATGAACTTTGGAAGATAAAACAACTGAATGCAACATGTGATCTAAGATTTTCTTTTGCTGTAAAAGACTGGACAATTGAAAAAACAACAACCACAGGACAATTGGCAAAGTTTGAATAAATTCTATAGATTGGATAATAATATTGTATTGAAGTTAATTTTCTGACTTTGAGAATTGTACTGTGGTTATTATGTAAGAGTGTCTTTGATTTTAAGAAACACACACTGAAGTATTTAGGGATAAAGGGCCTTGTGCATGATGATGGGCCCAAAGTTGGTAGGGCCAATTTACTGCCATTCTCAAACATTTCAGGGGGAAAAAGAATGTGTGTGTGTGAGTGTGTAGGGAGAGAGAGAGAACTTGAGTGAAAGAATAACAAAGAAATGTGGTGAAATGTTCATGTTTGGGGAATCTGAGTAAAGGTAAACAACAGCCCCTTTAACCCAGGCCCTGAACCCTGAGCTCCAATGACGTGAGCCCTCCTATAACTATTCTTCTAACTTTCTGAGTCTGAACTAATGTCAAGATAAAAAACCCAGGCCAGATTAGGTCAGGTCAAGTTTTCCACTTTGGCTTTTTGCCCATGAAGGCTAGCTAGGGAGCCACAAGGTTTGGCCCTCTCTAGACAAAAGAGTTCAGGGCATAAAGCGCCCTGAAGAGTTGATGCCCAAAAAAGTACCTGTGAGCTTCTAGGCAAAGATAATGATAATATAATAGCTACTATTTTTTTAGAGCGCACTTCATATATGCCAGGCTTACTGCTTCAAGCTTTATGCCCATCCTCTCCTTAAATATTCAATATCCTTGCCAAGCTGGGCATGGCTCAGTGGTTGAGCATTGACCTAGGATCCAGGAGATCAAGGTTCGATTCCAGGTCAGGGCACATGCCAGGGTTTTGGGCTCAATACCCAGCAGGAAGCGTGCAAGAGGCAGCCAATCAATGACTCATCATTGATGTTTCTCTCTCTCTCCCCCTCTCCCTTCTTCTCTTTGAAATTAATAAAGATATATTAAATACACACACACACACACATATCCTACAATATTGTAATCCTACGGCACACAGAAGCTAAGCAACTGGCCCCAAGTCACATGGTTAGTAAGCAGCAGGATGAAGGTTTGACTCCAGAGGCCTAGCCCTAAAATCCATTCTTTTGGACAATGGAGTCACTCTCCCTTGCCAGCAATGGCTTGGCCCTCTAGGTGTGAACAGATCTGCCTTATGCTGGAGGATAGGGCACTTACCTGCACAGTAGGGGTTACTGGGATTGAAGTTCAAAGCAAATTCATGGGAGACCTGAGGACAAGAATGAAAATAAGGCTCTTCCCCCATGACCACCTTTACACTCAGAAAAAGGACATGATGGTATGTACCAAGCATCAAACAGGAGCTATTTAGTCCTGAGCACTTGCTATGCACATGCCTGTAGGGATGCAACCATGCATCTCCCCATAAAACTGAGTGTCAGGCGGCAAGTTCACTGCATCCCCCAAAATCAGGACACTGAAACTGAAAACACAAGTACAATAGGGAAGAGAGTGCTCACCTGCCAGTCAGGGGGTACCTGGGCCCCAAATCCAAATGCTGGGAACATCTTGTCCCTGTAGGAGGACAGGGAATTGGGGAAGAGGCAGTGAGGGAACTGTGAGCCCAGAGGCTAAAGCATCTGCAGGGACTGAGGATGGGCAAGAGAAGTTACTCACGAGTCATAGTCCTGAACCACGTTGCCCACGCTCCACAGTGCTGTCAGGTACTCGTTGACCCCTGTTGGGCTCAGGTAGTGCAGGGAGTCAGGTGAGGAGGGATCTCCATTGGAGCCTGTGAAGTCCACACCCACCTAGGAGGATAGGAGAAAGGGAGCTGAAGGCCACCTTGTGCCCCAGATCTGTTCTCTGGCTCCTGGTAAAACAACTTACAGTAAAGTTGATTTGACAGCCTCCCATCACATAGTCCAGGAATGAATACTCTGTTTCTACCTGCAGATGAAACCAGGGTCATGGCTGAGGTAAAGGGGTTGGGGCCATGGAGTTCAAGGGTCAGAGCCTGGTTCACATCGGCTATTGTCTCACCTGGCAAATCTTGACACGGACAGTTCCAGAGTTCTTGTAGCTCTTCTTTTTCTGCTGTTTTTCAGGGTGGATGCATTCAAACTCAGCCTGGTGAGGAAAGAAAAATTAGGGTAGGAAACTCCGAGAACATCAGCCAAAACTGGAGTGGAGCTGCCCTGCCCTCCTCTTCTCTCTGGGGCTATAGCCCTCTCTAGGCCCACCTCAACACCCCTGAGCAGGACCAGCACTCACCGGGGCTGCTTGCAGGTGGGCCAAGCTTGTGTGGAAGGTACCAATGAGATCATGTGAGCCATCACTGTCATAGTCTGAGCATCGCACCTGGGGGAGGGGAGGCAGGTGGCAGATGAGAATAAATCCCTCCCCAGCCTCTCTGCACCCATTCAGTCCACTCAGGAGGCAAGCTCCTCACCTGGATAGGTGTGCTGGGGTCTCCCCCACAGAAATGCTGAAGAGGAACAGAGAAGCGCTTCCACGTAGGGTTCAGGTTGTTCTTGATTACCTGAAGGTAAAGGGCAAGACCTCCAGTGAGCTCTGGGCTGGTGTGGGGTGAGCTGCCATCCTTTCTCTACCCAAACGTAGTCTCTTCTTGTGTTCTAAACCTTGGTAGTCATAAGCCCCAGGAGATTCTCTCCTACCCCACCCCACCCAATCCCAGGGTTTTCACACCTCAGATCTGTATGTCAGGTGCCATTTCCCATCACCCTGGCGGAAGAACTCCAAGAATGGATCAGATTTCCCCAGGAAGTCCTGTCAATGCCACAGAGACCTGTTATAAGATTCAGGGAGAAACAACCACTATGCCAGACCTCTGTCCCACCTTGGCCCCCATCACACCATTCCAGTCCCCATAATCTTGGGGTAGGAGAGAACCCACAGGACCTCCTTCCACACACACCTTCTTATCTAGGTTTCTGGCCTCCACCTCCATGGTTACTACACGGCTATCCTTCAACTCCTGAGCTGAGACCTAGGTAAGGGAGGCAGGAGACTGTATCACCTCATGAATTCTTCATTAATTTAAAATCCCTGACCCCACCCTTACAGAGTTCTTTCTTACCGTGATGGTCCCCTGCCCAGCAGGTTTTCCAGGCTTCAGCATCAAGGGTAGAGTTAGTATCTGGCTGGACACAATCTGGGGCACAGTAAGGAGGAGGCGGTGGTCAAGATCTCAGGCAGGGTTAGGTCCTGCTTGACCCCCAGTCTCCAAGTTCCAAGCAGGCTGGGTTGTCTGACAGGGCTCTTACCAAACCTGTGTCTGAAGGACTCTAGTCCCTGGCCCTGCGTACCTGTCCTAGGGAACACTCAGCCCCTCCTAGGAAGTCATCATCCCCCAGCTCAGGTGTGTTGTTGTCTATGTCATAGATGCCAAACCGGAGCTTCTGGACTGTTTCAAAGTGGTACTCAAGCTGCAGAGTTTTGGAGAACTCGGGGCTCGAGCAGTTCCGTACTCGCTCAGTCCGTCCAAGCTGTGGGCAGGGGCCAATAAACATCACAGTCACACATCCTCCACCCCAAAATAATCCTAGTTTCCCTCCACAACCCTAACCCTCATTGTCCTTCTCACCTCAGCCCAGCTGCCCCCTCCCACATCCTGTAAAAGGACGCAGAGTGGGTCAGACTTGGAGCCGATGTCCTTGTCAATGAGGTGGTCACAGGAAATGGACAGCTGAACCAAGGTCACGCAGTGGGCCATCTAGGGAAAAAGAACCTAAGTCAAGCACCGAGGGTGCTTCTCCACCCTTCCCTGACTATGTGTTCCAGCTTGAGAAGGCAAGAAGCCTTTACCCAGGCAGGGATGAGCCTGTGTCCACCCCCATGACATCCTCACACCAACAAGCCATTCTCAATACAGCAACCAGGGAGTCCTGTTAAAACGTAAGTTGGGTCATGTCACACCTCTGCCTAAACCCTCTAATGATTTCCCACTGCTTAGAAAAAATCTAACTCTACCACAGCCTACAAGGTCTTGAAAGATCTATTTTTCTAACCTGATTTCCTAACACTTTATTATCTTGCTTACTACATTCTGGCCACACAGGTCTGCTTGCCATTCCTCAAAGAAGCTCGTTTCTACCCCAAAGTGTGGAATGTTCTTCCCTCATATCCACATGGCTTGCTGTTCCCTCATCCCTCTAGGTTTTTATTCCAAATCATCTTCTTATGAAGGAAAAGGCTTTTTTTCCTAGACACATTAAAATTTTAAACCTACTACCACTGGCACATCACATACCCCTTTGTTGTATTTACTCTCTAGTATTTATCACTCTCTAATACCTATATATACATTTATATAATTTGTCTTCCCCACCAGAATGTAAACTCCATGAAGGAAGGGTATTTGTCTCTTCTGTTCATTGCTCTATCCCAAACACCTAGACAATAAATATTTATTGAATGAAATCCTAAAGACCACCTCCAGCCTCAACTCCCAGCCCAGCCATCTCTAAACAACAATCAAATACCACCAAACTTCTCCAACTCATCCATTTCCTTTTCTGGAAACATTATCTTCTTGCATGTACCACCATGATTCTCATGTAACCCCTCCTCCTACAGTCACCATAACAATTATCCTCAGACCCCTCACTATCCCTGTGTTCTCCCTGACCCATACACCTGCAGACCACCAGGAGTGCAAATAAGGTCAGATCTCCCACTCGGCATTAATTCAGCATTCCAGGTTCCCCAGCACCATACCCCAGGATGCCTCCAGCCTCAGCCTCCCCTAAACTGACCCTCAGTCAATCCTTCCCCCGACCCAGCACAGTTAATTCTGTTCCCATCTTGGTACTTCATGGTCTCCATCTAGAATGCCATCAATCAAAGTCGGAATAATTCTTAGAGGTCAACTTGCTTCACATACTGCCCCTCCACAGCACCTCAGCCTCTGTTTGAATGCATCCAATGATGGAAAATCCACCTCTTAAAATCCATTCATCAGAAAAGTCCTTCTTCATAAAGTCCTACCCAAACCAAGCCAAGTCTGTTGAATTCTCACTTCTACACATTAGTCCCATTTCTTCCCCAGTCTAAAATTCTACAAGAAAGCCTTATTCCATCTCACTCTGAGAATCCATTTGATACCTGGAAGCAGTGAAATCCCCTGCTAAAATCTGGAGAAACAGCCCCAGTTCTTTTGAATAGTGCCCCTAGAATGTGGCTTGTAGACTTGACCAGCCTGATGATCCCTATGAAGGTTCCCCAAGGGCAGATCCAGAGCAGAACACATACTCCTAAGGGAGGAGAACCTAACTTCCCCAAGTCACGACCTGACTCCTGCTTCTCACCTCACTTGTTCTCTGAGGTAGTATTTGCACAGTACAGAGACAAATGAAGCAGATTGCTCATTTCACTATTGCTGAGAACAGTGAAAAACCTGAGACAGCTTAAAGGTCTATCAACTGGGTAGTGACTAAATTATGGTACATTCAAACAATAGATTCTGAGTAGCAGGTACAAATTACTAAGGCAGAACTATAATATTGGTACTACAGAAAAAAACAAAGTTGCAAAAAACGGTAAGAAGAGTGATTCCATTGTAAACTTCAATTGTGTATATATACAATAGAATTGAATACATACATAAAATAAATACCAGCTTGGCCTGCATGGCTCAGTGGTTGAGCATCGACCTAGGATCCTGGAAATCGAGGTTCGATTCCTGGTCAGGGCACATGCGCAGGTTGCAGGCTCAATCCCCAGCATGGGGTGTGCAAGAGGCAGCCAATTTATTATCCTTTCTCATTATTGATATTTCTATCTCTCTCTCCCTCTGCCTTTCTCTCTCTGAAATCAATAAATAAAAAATACACACACTAGGAAAAATGGAAGAGACACCAAATAAATGCAACTTTTATGTACGCCTCAGGAGTAGAAAGAAGCTAAGACTTCTACAGACTCTATACATTTCTGTACTGTTTCAAGATTTTACACTGCTTATTTTGTATTTTTTAAAGGGCCTCATTAGCATTTTCCCTCAATCCATACCTGAAGTCCTCTTGACTACTGATTCTAAGCTTAAAGCCTCTACCTCCAGAGCAACAACCCCTGCCTAACTTCAGGCTTCCTTGTCTCTTGCCTCCTCCCTGATTTCTCCTCCTCAGCACTGCCTCACCCAGTCATCCTTGATGCCAGCTTCCCGAGCCTCTATCTTAACTAGAAGCTGTCTAAAGCCCTTAGATTCAGAGCCAAAATCCCTAGCAGAGCCACCTGTGGCACAACCAGAGGACACATCCACATAGAATTCAGTAGTTGTATAATGTGGTGACTCTACATCCCTAATTTAACCTTCAAAGCCCTTCCCAACCTGCTCTATCTTCTGCCATTCCACCACCCATCCAGTCATCCAAAGATATTTCTGGTTCTTCAAACACACATACATGCTGATACCTCTGACTTTTCTGCCTAGCAAATGCTTTGTCATCCAAGGTTCTGCCAAAACTTTATTCCTTTATGAGGCCTTCTCCAGGTAGGATTTATTTATTCTCTCCTCTGGATGGCTGCAATGGTTTCCTCATTAGTCTTTCTGCAATATCTATCTATCAGTCAGTCTGTCTGTCTGTCTATCTATCTATCATCTATCTGTCATCTATCGATATCTCCCTCCTTCCCTCCCTCCCTCCCTCCCTTCTTCTCTTTCTTCTTTCTCTCTTTCTTCTTTCTCTTTCTCTCCTTTCTTTCTCTCTTT